CTGTGTGGGAAACTGGAAATGATAGCACCTGCCCGCAGGGCTGGAAGTGGGTTAAATGAGAGAGTGACGCATGCCCCCTCAGCCCCAGGACTGTTTGTTTTTTCTACTACATACAGGGAGTCGAGGAAAATTTTAAATAAAAACCTGATGGGAGAGAATGGCTGATTCGGTGTGCGTCTTAGATGGGGAGTGGCGATGCTGCCAACACAGGTGGATGAGAGTGGCTGCTGTCAGGTGACAGTGACCCTGGCCATGACATAGCATGCATCTCTGCAGTGAGATATGGGTGCATAGAAGTGGGATTGCAGAAAGTGGGGAGGTCTGGAGAAAAGCCAAGACTTGCCCCCCCCCATGCAGTGTTCACTCACTTTGGTAGGCACGAGGTCCAACATTTGAGTAGGTGAGCCAAAGACCAGGCCTAGAGCTGCAGGTGGTTTTGATGTCAGATACTCTAGGGCTGCACTTGGAACTCTGCCCTAAATAGATGCTTGGTGGTCTCAGGGGACGTCCCACTGCCTATAGAACAAATTCTACCTCCTTGCCAAGAAACACAAGGCCGCTTCCTGGAGGCCCAGGCCCAACACGTTGCAAGCCTTCTCTCCCTATTCCCGGGGTGGGGTGGGGAGTGGACTACTCTCAGCCCTTCTTCAAGATCCAGTTCCTAGGTCATGTCCACTCCCGGCCACATGGCAGAGGTGGGTGGCCTGGGCACAAAAGGGCCGTTCGGAGAAGAGTGGACGCTTCCTGGACCAAGGGGGTGAGGTAAGGTCAAAGGAGAGATGAGAAAGAAAGGAGGGCAAAAATGTAGGTGGAATGATCTGGTTCTTTAAAAGGAACAGTTGTCCTGAGTTGATAATATCCAAGATTGGTCAGTAAAGGTGCATCTGAAAGCACAATGCTTTTCATCAGAGGAGTTTGCAGCCTGATAAAGGAGCCCAGTTACAACAGCTCAAATATGCAAGCAGCTTTTTCAGCGAGTCCCACACAGCCGCCAAATCCCACCTTCCTGGGCTGCAAGCTGGGAGGCCTCATGGAAAGGTCGACAAGCATTTGAACGCATATTCCTGGGGCCGCAACTGTCACGAGGGGACAGCAGCCCCGTAGAAGGCTGTGAAAAGCTTGCCTCCCTGTCTTGGGAGAGAGCTGGACACNAGTGAGTCTATGGGGTGACCGGTTAGCTCAGTGGGTTAGAGCGTGGTGCTGATAACACCGGGTTGCCGGTCCGATCCCCACATGGGCCACTGTGAGCAGCACCCTCCCTAAAAGAGTCAACTATGCCATTGTAGCATGAAAGCAGTGTGTAACCAATGACCATGGCTGTTCCCCAATTAAAAAACAAAAACAAAAACGCAAATCTAGGTGCCTGACAGCACACATTTCCTTCGGATTTTTTTAATCACAGACTTAATTCTATGCTACACTAACTGCGGAAATGGAAAGGCCGCACAGACCTTCCTTGGCTCCTGACACACCGCAGGGCTGTCCCCGGGGAAGTAAGGGATTACTTTCAGGAAGGCAGGTTGTCATCCAAGGCACGGATTCACAACTTTCCCACCACACTTCCATCTTCACGTAATCTTCACGTGATTCCTATTGCCAGTGGCTCTTTCTGGTTAAATCTCAGAGTCCCTCCTCTGGAATGGGCCACTCGGGCCTCCAGGGCATGAGGGCCACGTCTGCCCAGGCACGAAGAGCCCTCAGGGGGAGCACTCAGGCCCCAATGAAAATGGGGTTCTAGCAGGCCCTGAGCTGGGACCTGCTGGCCTCTCCCCTTGAAGGAACTTCCTTGAGAATGAATGAGTGAAGAAAACCAAAAAAACTGTACAGCTTCAGTGAGCTCTTCCAGTGTCTTAGATAAGAGCATTGGCTTCAAGGAGATACTATTTAGGAAGAGAAGTTACCTGCTCTCCCCTCCAGCGCCACTTTTCTGCAGAACAGACCTCTTCCTGAACCCTCAACAAGGGCCCAGGGTGTCTCCCACCTCCACCTGCCCTTTGAAACCACCTCCACTGCCCATTCATTCATTCATTCATCCCCCGGCCCGCCAACCCAAAGGTCTGTGGTTCTCACTCGAATTAGCATCTGGTTCCAGGAAAGCAGACAAGCAAAATGTCATGTCTTGCCCACTCCCCACCAGCCTCTACAGGTAATTTTCTCTCAACCAGAACTTTGTCAGAGAAGTTGTTTCAACAAGGCACAGTATGTCACCCGCCCCGTGCAGCCCACATCAATTCCTGCGGCACCAAACCACTGCTCGGGGAAGAGACCAGCTCTGCCAAAGGCTGCAGACAGATGCCTGTGTTCTGGCCTGAAGCCCAGACCTTGGTGGGGGGCTCCCCAACAGCCACTAGAGCCATAGCAGTTACCTTACGTCCCAAAGCCCACAGCCGGCAGAACTGCCATAAATGACAGGAACACCCCAAAAGTAAAGTCAATTTATGCTCAGTAATCTTGGAAAAGAACAAAAGGCATCAAACGGAAGTTCCGGGAATCTAACACTGAGTCAACATGATTTCTATCCTAAATACAAGCTCTTATTATAAATATATTTTTCAAATGCATGAACTCAACTGGAAAAAAAAAAAACCAATTTACGAAAGCAGCTCACTGTCATTTGTCCACGAATCAGCCAAAGAGAAGCTCCTTTACACAAGTCTAATAATCACATCGTCTTTATGCGCTCATGTGGGTTTTATTTTTTGAAAGGCAGCTTTTCAAATGTGTTTATTAGAATACACGCTTATTCTGCTATAATTGTAAGAAAACATGGTTATGCTTGAATCCAGGGGCATAATTAGCATGCATTGCTTCTCCAACTTTGTCAAACCTTCATAGAATTATTTTCAAAATGGTTATTTACAGCTAATTACCCATCACACCAAGGCATCCTGGGCTTTCAGCGAAGTGTCACCAGGACATAATGGCTCCTGTGAAATGCACTCAGGTCACTGCCCTAAACACTGGCGGCAGCGGGAGTCACTTGCCAGAGCCCTACATCCTTGCTGATGTCCTGCCAGCCTGCAGAGGTCCCCCAGTGGGGGGCGACTGCCACGCAGACCACCCCCACCAGGAACAGATCCAGGGCCAGCAGGCTCGCGACCCCACCTCTTCCGGGTAGGCAAGGGTGTCTTTGGGAGCATGAGTTGCCTATCAGCCCTGAAAGAGGCTTCCCTGGCATGTATTAATGCATCTGAGGGGTGGACTGAGCGGCAGAGCGTGCACACGTGCCTCGTAACTGAACAAATGCAAATCTCAGCATGCATTTTGAACTGTGGGCTGCACCACAACATCCTCGGCTCTCTGGGCCCCTCCGCCCCTTCCCTGGGGGCCGACAGAGACCTACCTGCTCTTGGGGCCACTTCGGCCTCTCCTCGGGAGTCCTGGTCTTGGTCTTGAAGCCTCTCTGGGGGTCTCCGGGGAGCTTGGCTTCAGGAGGGAGGTTGAGTGACTTGGGCCGTCCCTCGTGTCTGCTGGGGCCGCAGCTGGCCTCGCCCGGCGGGCAGGCCTCTGTGCGGTCCCCAAGGCCCTGCTCTGGCCCCTGCACCCGCACATGCTCAGGGCTGGCCTCTCCAGCACTGGCGATGCTGGTTATGCTCAAGCTCATCTTGATCTCAGCCACAATCTGGTCGATGTCCTCCTCCTGGTCCTCCAGGTCCCCATCCCCACGCCGCGGGCGATAGGGGGGCGTGCTGCCCGCGTTCCCGTTGGCCTCTGGGGGGTAATAGTCCTGGTAGCCCTCCTCACTGGGGCAGTAGTGGACGCCTTCTTCCTGGTCCTGGGCCTCTAGGATGGAGACCTCGTCGTCGGGGGTGGGGAGGTGGTCGTCCCGGTAGTCCGGGCTGCTGTCGTGCCCGTGGCCGTGGGCATGAGGGCCGGCCGAGTCCGTCCACTCCTCCACCGCCTCCTGGCACTCGTCTGTCTCCAGGTGGCTGGCACCGTGGGCCAGGCAGCCCTCCCCATTGCAGTCCATGCCTTCCAGGTAGCTGTCATCCTCGGGGCAGTAGCGGATGTAGTAGGTGATGCCCTCCTCTTCCTCGGGCAGGCCTTCATCGTAGTCTTCCTCCTCTGAGGTGTTGTTCACGTAGTCGGAGCTGGAGTCCCCGTCGGGGCTGTGGTCGTGGCAGCCCTGCTCAGGGGGTGTGGGGCTCTCGGGCCGCAGGGCAGCCAGCTCCAGGCCCTGGGGCTCGTACTCCTCCAGGGGCAGGTCCGCGTCCTGGCTCTCGGGCTCCTGGCCGTGGGGGACGGGGCCCGGCTTCACCCTGTGGTCCAGCATGCTGCTTGCCGTGCTCTGACGCTTGCGGTTGGCCATGGCGGACGCTCAGGCAGCCATCGTCACCAGGAGGCAGCTGCTGTGGAAAGAAGGTTGGAAAGAACAGAGTCAGAAACCCAGAGAGCAGCTGGGAGCCGGCGGAGAGTTTCACCGCCATGTTTTCTCCGAGTCAGGTTAACACACAGCTGTTCAGATAATGTGACATCCCACCCCAGCTGACTCATTTGTCAGGAACACAGCACACCCATGCCAGAGAGACAGGAGGACACGCAGGACCAGGGGAGGGTGAGGCAGATGGCTGGCGCCGACGGTTCCCCAGGATGCCTGCTTCTTTCCCAGGAACTCACTCATGGCATCTTGAAAATGCTCATTCAGCTTGGGTAGCCCAGGTGATCAAGAAAAATGGTCATAAGATCAGGCTATTTGCTCTCAGGAAAAGAGAAGCTTTCGTTCAGGGGACATGATGAAGGCCAAAGGGGAGGTCCACTGTGTCCTCTGATTCTAAATGTGCTGCGTCACGAAGGCCATCGAAAGTTTTGCCTCCCCTATGAGCTTGTCCCAGTCTCCCCAGCGCACACAGACCGCTCCTGCCTCCTCACCCCAAACCAAACGGCATTCACGGAGTGACTGATTTACCAGGAACAGTCTAGA